ATGTCACCCATGCTTGCTGGCTAGTATCAGACCAACATTTTCCAGCATTTCTTCGAGCAAAATATCGATGTTTCTCTCACAAAGGCACGCAATGAAAACCTTGGCAAATTCCGCTGTGACTTAGACTTTCATGGCTGAACCAATCATCAGACAACGTGTACGCCGCTCTGCCTGAACCAGGTATTGAGCACTTTCCCAGAACCTAAGCATACTGCCTCTCTGATGTTTCTCTCACAAATTTGTTCCAAATCTGGTATTTTTTGAAGCTGTAATTGCGCTTTAATATACAACGTGTACGGTGCACGTAACTCACTTCGCACATTTTTGCCAATACTTGCCTGGCTTTTGCTCACTTTGCCAACACGTGACACGTTTCGGCCTCGTATTAGAGCAGAAAGATATCAAAATATCGAGTGGCCGGGCAAAATGAAAGCAAAATATCGACGCTGAGCCAGCAAAATCTTGATGTCAGGCGAGCAAATTTGGTCTGGAACTAATGTTGACTCCACTGTGTGCATGCCTTGATCACTTTGTACACCTAGTCAGTCACATGACCAAGATGTGAAACCATTCAGTCACGTGACCAAGATGTGAAACTATTCAGTCACATGACCAAGATGTGAAACTATTCAGTCACATGACCAAGATGTGAAACTATTCAGTCACATGACCAATATGTGAACACCACTCGTGTAGTGTTCTGTGCTAGAATCACATCACGTCGGTAGGAAAGCGCCTGGCATGTTGAACGGTCTCTGCTGGAATGACGGCTACACCATAGCTCAGTGGTTAGAGCATCACTGGCATCACTGGTCTCTAGTGAGGGTACCTGGTTTGGGTCCTGGTGGTGACAGTCAATTGTTTCTTCAGACTTTTCCCGTTTGTGTCTTTCCCTCAAACTAGTTAACAACTATTTCTGCTCTCTCTTTCTGTATCCCTCTCTCTCTCTCTCTCTCTCTCTCTCTCTCTCTCTCTCTCTCTCTCTCTCTCTCTCTCTCTCTCTCTCTCTCTCTCTCTCTCTCTCTCTCTCTCTCTCTCTCTCTCTCTCTCTCTCTCTCTCTCTCTCTCTCTCTCTGTTTGTTTTACAGCTTCTTTTCTCGTTTGCAGCGTCGAAGGGCTTTGATCAGAGCGAGTACTCTATACTAACCACATTTCCTCGCAAGGACGTGAGTAGCGCACTGCTTGTCGTTTGTTCTTCATCGTTGTCGTCGTACTGTAGCGGACATTGAAATCTGTTGAGAAGCCCGAGCGGCCACGTGACGCTGGCCGTGCAGCAGCCGTGTGAGAACTGCCGGTTCATTTTTAACAGTGTGTATGTGAACTACAGTGCAAGTGCATGTACACGCTAAAAGCAGTAAGGGCCGTCGCCGGCCACGGTCATCCTGTCGGGTTTCTATGTCCACGATATAAATCCGACGGGCAATGTCTGCTCGTGTGTGTGTACAGCCGCCTGTGTGGTAGCAACCGCCTGCCTCTGCTTGCCTGCGTGCACTTGTAGCATATCAGTAATAGGCTGTGTGCACGATGCCATTATGATGTCATTTGTACGACTCGTATACATGTACGTGGATGAAATGGGTGCGGTTACGCGGTGCTGCCGAAAATGGCGCACTGAAACATTCTGACGTAGGTTTGTCCGTAGCAGCTCAAGAACGGAGGTACACACTCTTCTTGTTGTTATGTACTCTTGGTGTCACATTGCCACGCGAGAAAAAAGTGGCCATTGTGTGTGTGTGTGTGTGTGTGTGTGTGTGTGTGTGTGTGTGTGTGTGTGTGTGTGTGTGTGTGTGTGCGTGCGTGCGTTCATATGTGTGTGTGTGTGCGTGCGTGTGTGTGTGTGTCCGTGTCTGTACGTGCCTGCTTGATGTGTTGTTGACTGGACAGCTGACATCACTGACTGATCCTGGCCACACCACGCTGCAAGAAGCCGGGCTGAAGGCGCGTGAGATGCTGCTACTGGAGGAGAAGTACAGCTCTGACTCCGAAGAAGATGGTTGAGCTCATCCTGCTCGTTGTAGTCCCAACGGACGTATTGGCTGGCAGAGGGTACTCTTTCTTGTTATGCACAATGTTCCGCTGGGCAAGCTGTGGTGGTGGCTTTTGTTGAGATGATGTTGTGGTGGTATCCGTGCTGTCGTCGGTTTGCTCACGGCTGTTGCTATTGTGGATGTTGCCGTCTTCTGTGTGTGTGTGTTTGTGTGTGTGTGTGTGTTATGATGACGATGCTGTCAGCAGAGTGTTTAACAACTAGTGCTGCTGCTGTTGTTGTTCCAGGGCGTGTGTGTGTATGTACGTGCGTGGCTGGTTGTTAGTGACTCATAGAACTGTGTGTGTGTATGTAGGTGTGTGTGTGGTGCGTACGTGTGTGTGCGTGCGTGTGCCGGTGATGACGGCAGTGTTGGTGTGGCGAGCGCCGTTCCCGTCTTGTTGGTGTTGCGTTTGTCTCTGGCTGTGTGTCCGACGCTGGCTCCAATAGTCAGTCCACGTTTCTTCTTCTGCTGCTCAGCTCTGATTTGGTGTGTGCCACCGGTGTTGCTGTGTGCTCGTTGCCTTGTCGCCTACCTCTCTGGTACTAGTACAGTCATGTAGCTTGCTTGCTGTTACTGTAAACACATTGTTGGCTGGAGCGTGGAGGACCGGAACACAATAAACACCATCACCATTCTCATCATTTGTATCCTGACTCGTCTCGTCGCCATCATCATCGTTGTGGTCTTGCCGCCTCTCTATGTTGCCGTTCTGTCGTTTCCCCACTCTGTCAGCGTGCGTCTTGCCAGGCTGTGTGGCCTACATCGTCAGTGTGATGTCTGTCGCTGTATGGGTGTCGTTGCGACCAGTCCTGTCTGTTTCCCGTTGTCCAAGAGATTCATTCTCCAACGCGTCTTGTTGTGTCGTTTTTGAGCTTCGTTCCAGACTCGCAGTGCCGTGTCGTGGAATGCCACAGTCGGAACTCTCACCGCTGTCATCACGGAGACGCAGAGTCGTGTCTGCCGAGTACTCCGTTAGCCGAGCGGTGTGTACATGTGAAATAAAATCTGTGCGTCTCGTTCACTCTTGCATAGTTTGTAAACACGTATTCTGACCTATTCGAGCTGCCAGTATCCGTCCTGACTATCCACGATTATAAGTTATTTTCGACGCTTTTTTCGGCGCATGGCTGCTGCTGGGGGTATGTCCATGGCAAACTGCAGCGGGTACATCCGTCTCTTGTGTGCGCATCCGCAGAGGTGAGCGGCTGCGTATCCGTCTGTTCTTGCCGGCGGCTTGGACTGGCACCTACCATCACGCGGTCCAAGCGGCGGCCGCTACTGGCATTCACCGTCTTCTGATGTTTATCCAGCTATTTGTCGGGCGTGAAGCCCGAACCAGCGGTCACCGCAACTTGCTCAGCGCCGGAAAAAAAAGGTTTTCGTGTATTCCGAGTCTGCCCCCCACGTGTTCAGTGGACCATGTTGACTTCTGCGTGCATGGCGTGTACGTGTGCGATCTACTTAAAAAAAAAAAAGATGTGCGGAGTGTGATGACAGCCTGCCCCCCCCCCCCCCCCCCCACATACTGATAAGGCATGCTATCATCATCTGTGTTTATCCACCTCACATTGAAAAGACAACCGTGTGGCGCAGAGCTGCAGGGTTTCCGCCGTTCCTAACCCTAAAAAATGTAGACGTTCTTTCTCGGTTCTATCGGACAAACACCACATCCAATCCATTTCAAGTATCTGCTGTGTGCCCCCGATTCATTTGCTTTTGTGTCTTCAATTCTCTCTCTCTCTCTCTCTCTCTCTCTCTCTCTCTCTCTCTCTCTCTCTCTCTCTCTCTCTCTCTCTCTCTCTCTCTCTCTCTCTCTCTCTCTCTCTCTCTCTCTCTCTCTCTCTCTCTCTCTCTCTCTCTCTCTCTCTCTCTCTCTCTCTCTCTCTCCGATACAATTGTCTTGGGCTGGTTTGCTTTCGTTCATCTGCCACACGTCTCGAATAGCAGACGCTCATGTGTTGCCATGTACATAACATTCGCATTCGCCGTGTCCTGTTCGCGATGTCTTGTGCCCCACAAGCTGGAACTGGACTCTCTTCAGCTGTTGGGACCAACATGGTTTCACGCGAAGAGCTAGGCATGCTTCTGCTCTCCCAGGGCTGTATGTGCCTGATTGAGCGGCTCATTCTATGCTCACTCTCTCAACACAGTCATTCTGCAACGTTAACGTGTCACATGAATTAACTGTGTTGGCCTCTTTTTTAACATACAATAATATACGTCATACTTTCATATACTCTGCCTGTTATAACCGGTCAACTTTTTTTTTTAAATCTCTTTTCAGTTTATTTGCTGCGTGGTCGCCTTATCCAATGCGATTAGATGTGTGTGCGTGAGCGTGTGTGTATGTGCGTGTGTGCGTGTGTGTGAGTGCGCGCCGGCGTAGCGGAAGGACGTTTTGGTGGGGTGTCTTCAAAAGTGTGTACGGGGGCGGGATACACACACACACACACACACACACACACACACACACACACACACACACACACACACACACACACACACACATCTGCCTGACATACATGCGTGATGTGGACCCTAACGAAATCCAATTCCCATCGACTTCACCTGGGTGGTGGAGCCCATCTCGTCTCCAAGACCAGCAGAATTAAAACAGGTCCAGCTTGGGCCAACAGCTCACACTACTACAATAATAGTATATAGTACACACTACTACTATATATAGGTATACAGCAGGGAGTCGTAAAATACCGGTATTTTACGACTCCCTGCTATAGTCGTAGGATCTCGAACAGGCCGATACTATGGCGATAGAAAGATTAAGTACATAATTCAAAGCCTCCATATGGCTTTGCATTACTGTAGAACGGCTAAATTTAGCGGGTGATTTGTTTTGGTTTTCTCAGTTCTGGATCAGGACAAATTCACGATGAAGACGAGTTAGTAGTTTAGCGATCTGAGTTTCGGAGTTTAAAAAGGGAGATGACTACAGTGCATTTCAAAACTATAGACGCGTAGGGTTTTTGAAATATTTCAAATTTGGCTGGAACTTTTTGAGAATAGTTTTCGGAATATTGCTCAGGATCGCTCCACAATTACTCTCATATAGTTTCTAACGGATTGGATAACAGACGCCCAATTTGGAAAAATTTATGCACAAAGTGATCACAGATTTTATGTGGTATAGATGCTCATAACGGTTTTTGCCTAGGTACGCGTCTATAGTTTTCAAATGGACTGTAGTACAATCAAGAGTACGTACTCTTGGTACAATGTACTGTGTGCTGTATTTGCAAAATTTCGATTTTGATTGGGGCAGCAAAACACTCCTTTCGCTAAAATGAGCCGTTTTACACTAGCCTAGAGGGTAGCCGTCAATACGCATGCTACACAGTACAGCAGGCACTAAGACCTGGCGTAAGCGACCTCTGGGTTTAGCGACCACCTCTTGATTAACGACCGTCTTTCCATGCACCGACAGTTCTACACAGACACTGTGGGACCTGGTTCTAAAGACCACCTGGCTTTAATGAACACTTTTGCTTGCGCCGTGGGGTGGTCGCTTAAACCAGGTTTTACTGTCACGACTGAGAAGGAAAGAAGGTCGACGAGGAAATATTTGTGATATTACAAAGTATTGAGATGCATTGTGGATGAAGAAAATTTAATAATACATTGCCAGAAGCTTGAGAGCCGGCGAAAGCACAGATACGGGGAGAAAAAGAACAGTGGATGGAACGGAAGAAGGAGTATGGGGACAATTACTATTCATGCATATTTCTGTGTGTGTGGGGGGGGGGGGGTGCACATGTGTGTGTGTGGGGGGGGGGGGGGGGGGTGCACATGTGTGTGTGTGTGTGCATGTGTGTGTGTGTGTGTGTGTGTGTGTGTGTGTGTGTGTGTGTGTGTGTGTGTGTGTGTGTGTGTGTGTGTGTGTGTGTGTGTGTGTGTGTGTGTGTGCATGTCAGACTATCAAGTAGTGGGATCGGAACGGTATAATAGACCTGCAGCTGCAGACTACTGATGCTGACCAGCGGTATACACGGCAATGGTGGTAATGGCATGTGCAGAGTCCAATGTCATGATCTCTTCAGTCGCTTGCACTACACTCTACAGCCAGCCTTACAGCGACTCTGAGAGGATGCACGCGCCGTGTGATCAGCGTACTAGCACAGCCTGCAGCCGGGGTCGATGATGTAGGACACGGTGTCGAGAAGGTCACGGAGAAAAACGGGATCATTACGGGATTTGAATGGCATTAATTAAAAAGTTATTGTGTGCAGTGCAAGCACGTGGGAAGCACTATTATCGCCAGGGAAGTATTATTCATTGAAACACGCTACCTTAGGAGAGAGAGAGAGAGAGAGAGAGAGAGAGAGAGAGAAAGAGAGAGAGAGAGAGAAAGAGAGAGAGAGGCAGGGGGTTATTTACGGAACAGCGAAGAGTGACACTGGATCCTGGAGAGCGACATTGCTGTGACTGACGTCGTCCATGGTGACATCATCGGCCTGTGACATCATCGGCCTGTGACATCATCACCGGTGAGATTACTAGGAGAGTGACATCATCATCATAATCATCACCATCATCATCACCAGCAGACAGGCAGAGATGGCGTTGTTTACGTCAGCTTGTTCTTGATGAGCGCACTGATGGCGGCTGCGTCCATGTTGCCCAGACTGCCCTGGTACGGGGCCTGCGTGGCGCTATTTGTATAGCTGCGTGGCCTCCAGTACTGCTCGATAGCCTCACTGACGGTCGGGTTCGGCCAAGCGCCACTGCACGGCTTCGCTGCAGCAGCCGCGGCAGATGTGTAGCAGCGCTGCCTGGACTTTGGCGACGAGCTCCGCGATCTCCTGTTGCCCGGGGTCTCCACTGGTTGAGATATCGTGAAGAGCGGCTCCTTGTGGCCGGGAACGGTGCGGCGAGACCGGTGATCCTGCTGCGGTGGCTGTTTGCAATGCTCCCGGTGGGTGGTCCTGCGGTGAAGCGCGAACGGAGGTGATGGGGATCCGGAGTCGGACGACGACGACGACGAGGCGGACATTGACAGTGAGGGCGACGCCTTGAAGTGCAGCATGTCACAGTAGGCGTTGGCCGCCGAATCCTCGTCGCTGTCATACCTGTACGCGTTATAGCGGCCGGTAATGCGCGTCTCCGGCGTCAGCGACGAGGAGCGCGATCCAGGCGCTCGGCGTACTTGCAGCGAAGACTTTCTGGCGCCCGGCTCGGACGCGCTGACGAAACTGTTGGGTGGCGGCTGAATGCCCGTCCTGCTCGTTTTGGCGCCGGTGGCGGTGAAGGTGGCGGTCCTGTCCCTGAACTTGTAGTTGTTCTCGCCGGGTGGCGGCATAACAGTGGCTGTTCTGCTGCCGGTGGGCAAGCTGGCTAGTGTGTTGGCGGTTCTGTCACCGAAGCTGAAGTTGTTATTAACACTGTTACTCGGTGGCGATTGTTGAGCGTTTGTCCTGCCAGTGGTGGTGTTGGCTGCTGGGGTTGTGCTGTCTCTGAAGCTGTACTTGATCTGGGTGTTCAACTGAGGGCCGCCGGCCGGACTGGTGTCCTCCTGGCTGGGACACCGATAGTGAATCCGGGGTAGCTCCGGCTTCGACGTGGTAAGCACCAGCTGCGGTGACGACAGGGTTTTGACGGGAGAGACGGGTGCGCTGGACCTCTTCGGAGCGGCGCTGGTTTTGTCGTCGTTGTTGTCATTGGCAACGCTGCCGAGCCCTCCGTCCAATGCGTCGTCACTGGTGTGCGCACGCTTACGCGGGCTTGGCGACAGCGAGCGGCCCATTCGCGGCAAGGCCGACTGCAGCAGTTGAAACGTCCTGGAGAGCGGACTGCGAGGCTGATCCTGATCTTTGGGTTCCTCTTGCGCACCAGACAGCATCGTGGTGCAGCTAGCAGAACGCTGATCCAGCGACACTACTGTTTTGTAGCTGGGAGAGCACTGGTCCTCAGACAAGACTGTAGTGTAGCTAGCAGACCGTTGGTCACGAGACACGGCGTGTGCAATGGAGGAGCTTGAAGACCTCCGGTCCACGGCGCCGGCGTCCGAACTGGGTTCGCCAATGAACACATCGCCGGCGGAGAACAGACTGCGGCTGCGCTGCACCCTTGGCTGGCCCGCGGCATCCACTGGCGACGAGTCGCGACTGCGCCAGCTCCCCCTGGGCGATGACGTCATCATGGGCGTGTCGTGCTTCGACGGCGACCTGGGCGAGATGACGATGGAGTTCGGGCGGGTGACGATGATTCGGCCGGTGAGCTCCGTGATGACGTTCGCCGCGCCCATCAGCAGCATGTGCGTGTTGCACGTACTCTGCGATGACGTCATCGGCACAGGGTCGAACACGTAGCTGGGATCTTCGCCGAGCACCTGTCGCGCGATACCGGCCATTCCGGACGGGCGGCGATGCAGGTTGGCTCCCGGCGGCGGCATCGTTGTCAGCATGCCGTTCTCGGTTACCATGGTGATCGCCGAGCGCTCGTCGTCGTCCGGGAAGGTGTGCTTGAGCCCCTCCAGCGTGGCGAAGCCGACCACGGACAGGCGCTCCAGGTGATCGCCGCTGTTCGCTGGGTAGCCTGGACAACACACAACATGATTCACACAGCATTATCCACAACATACTAGTAGTAAGAACAGCAGCAGCAGCAGCAGCAGCAGCAGCAGCAGCAGCAGCAGAAACCGTTGAACAGCAACAGCAACAACAGCAGCAGCAGCAACAGGAGCAGTAGCAGCAGCAGCAGCAGCGACAACCGCAACCGCAACAGCAGCAGCAGCAGCAGCAGCAACAGCAACAACAGGTACAGCAACAACATGATCAGTCGGCTACGTGGTGCACCACGAAGTCTCATACAGCGTCATACACAGGCCCGACGGAACCGGTCCGGTTGGTCAGGTTATCACCGGGCCAACATGTCACCCACCAATACAATGTTAACTACAATGGAGGCCATGTGTTTAAATAACCGGCGAGGAGACAACAGTTAGTTATATTCATTGCTATTTCGCAATGGAGGCAATGGAGGTCATGTGTACCCATCATCTCATACACAAAGTATGAAAGGCACTGACAATCAAACAACTACTGTCGGCGGTCCTGACCCAGCATAGTGCAACACTGAGTTAGTTGCACACAGTCCACCATACCAGGGGAACTTTTAAGAGAACAAATCCGTCTCTACACTCAGTCTCAGAGTTGCATGATGCCACCTGATCACCAGGATGCCACCTGATCACCAGGATGCCAGGCTCAGCAGACTACACAGTAGACTGCCTGTGTGTGTGTCCTGAGTGTTTTATTCATAATTACGGTGGTAAACACGCACCTGGCAATATGGCGGTAACACACGCCGGACAGTAATTATACAACGGGAAGAAAGGAGATTAACCCTTTACTGTCCGATTAAAATGTATAGAAGCCCACGCCACCACAAAATCTGAAACTAAAATTAGACGTAACTTTGGTTTGAATTTGACGATTTCCACGATCTTGGGCATCCTGGAAAGGTCTTGACGAGACGAACGCAATGAGCTCACACTCGGCGCCACAGGATGCACTGGTCCAGCGCTGCAAGCCAGGGAACGCGCAAAAGCGCTGAGCTCACGCTCGAGATCGATCTCAATCCACCATGTCACCCCCGTTGCTCGTATCGAGCTCAAATATTTTCGTAGAGACGCCCGGGAACCTACTTTTGAATTTGAATTGGTGTAGCCTTGCCAACAGGTGACGTAAACAGGGAAAATCCCAGCCGTCGACATGCGCGTCGCGCTCTGAACGCACATTTCCCGGGACCAGAATTACGAGTGCGATAACCCCGCAACCGCTCTTCGTATCGCTTCGGGAATTGTTCGAGGCGACAGCTGAGACTTTTCTCTTCGACCTACATATTTCGATCTCTCCAAAAGACCTAGATTTGAGCAAGTTACGATAATTTCAAAATGCCTACCCCATCGATCCCATTGGATCGATGCTTGTATGTACGGACAGTAAAGGGTTAATGGCTGTGAATACAGTCTGGACTACTTGTGTGTGCCCTACATAGAGTGCTATACCCCTTAGCACCTCGGTGGGAACAGTCAGCGCCATAATGCAGCGGAAGGCGCAATGATACGCAACCTAATTGTTTTACTTGCTCCAATCACACCGGCCCAGGTGTGAACTTCAACTAGTCCACCAGGTAGCTATGAGTCCTTTCACACTATTACCCTAAAAAATCGGTAAATCTGGTGTGTGATATGAGCAAGTAGGGAACAAGTCCTGACGTCTACAAGTAGCTTTTTAAGGTGCCATAAAGTGAACATTATTAGATCTAAAACTGATACAAGAAAGAAACGCTAATATCCTAAAGCTAGCACGATTGGAGGCATGATTACATGATTACATGAGCAGTGTGAAAGCAAGACGTGTAGATTGGAGAAATGCAGGTGAGAAAGGTACAAGTACATGTATGTGGGTATTTCTTTTTCTTTTTTTTTGTTCTAGCTTTCTAGGTGGTCAGAGCAGTGACAAACATGGTGTCTGTGTGAGTGATGTGCTTTCATAATTATAACCTTCTGCATGATTTTAATCATTTTATGCACACATTTTCATTCACTCTTCATCATTTTGTCGGAACTAGGTCTCCGGACCTGGTGAGAAGGCAGAAATGCCTGCTCATTTGGTGAAGTAAAATAAAACAAACAAACAAACAAACAGTGTGCTGTGTATTGTATTGATGGGCTCGCCATGTACAGTTGCGCTCACTTAAAACCGACCAAAAGTGCGTATTTGGCGGCCTCAACTAGCACGGCCCTTGACGCCCTGGAAGTGGCACGAACGCGGCTGGACGTACACATGCAACAAGTACAATGATGTAATCGGAACTGGTCCAGGGCGACAGCTTTGCACTTCGGGTCGGATTTCAGTGAGCACCACCTGTGCACTCTTTGAGTGTCATTCTTGTTACTGGCTGTACTCTACGGTGGTCGCTGTGTAAAATCCGGCACCATTTGCGAGACGGAAATTCTGCTGGGTTTTTGGGGAGGGTGCTGGATTAACGAATGTGACTTGCCGTTGCAATGTGCATGAAAAGGACATTCTGGTTGCTGAATATTACGCTGGTTTACAGAGGATAAAGTAAGTAAATTATCGTGTCCGTGCCCAAAGGGAACTCACGACGGCCGCTAACACCCGGTAAACCCTAGCGGCAGGGTTACAGAGGGTGCTGGTTTATAAAGTGCCGGATAAAAGAGGGACGACTCTACATGAAACCAACGGCATGTTCGATTGGTAGGATCTGGATCAGGATCCAGATCTCAGATCCGTCAGATCCTTGAGAGTCAACCGAACTCTTTATTTTGGACCTTGACTGTTGCCATGTCGATGAAGTATTAAAAATGGCGATCACAGGTCAGTGAAAAGGGTGAAAGTCAATACTCATCGTGCCCATCGTACCAAAAGTCAACAAGAGTATCTTGATCACCGTGTGCGTACCACAATGTGTACAAAAGTGATTTTTTACCCACCATAATTAATAATTTTAAAATTATAATGGCATATATGCACAAAGGCCACATTTGGATCCGTTGGATCCGGTCAACCCTAGCTAGGCCCTGCTCTCTGAGGTGGGTTGACGCGATCCAAATGCCTTCAATTGCATCAACTGTGCTGCATATCTCGAAAAACATCCGCTACCTCTGCCTGTGCCATCAACTCCTACCGCTCACCACCCAAGCTCTTCGTCTGAGGCGAAACGCTTCTGTCTTGCGAAGGCACCACCCAAGGCGATCCTCTCACCATGGCCATGTCACGTGATGCACTTGGAACGGTACCCCTCAAACAAAGAGCCAAGTCCAGCGGTGTCCTTCAAGCCTGGTTCGCAGACGACCCAACAGCGGGTGACAAGCTACGGACGCTGTGCACGTGGTGGTCTATCCTGGAGAAAGAGGGACATGCTTTTGGCTACTTGATCAACGCCAAGAGGTGAATTCTTCTTACAAAACCAGATCATGCTGACCTAGCAGCCGAGCTTTTTGGTGACACCAACGTGGACATCCGGGTTGACGGTTGTCGTCATCTGGGCGCAGTTCTGGGCAGTGGGCACCCTACAGTACTTTGAGGGTTTTGTTCGATCGAAAGTCCAGGAGTGGTGCGTAGAGGTTGCAGTCTTAGCCCAGTATGCTGTCACCCAGCCACAAGCAGCATTTGGACTGGGCCTGGGGCACAAATGGGCCTTCATTGCCCGAACCGTACTCGACACCGCGCACTTGCTAGCTCCGTTGGAGGACACGATCCGCACGAAGCTCATTCCCGCCATCACCCGAACCGACCTCCTCCTCCAGGTGATCTTGAAAGGTCCACCCTAGCTCTACCCTGCAGAGACGGAGGTTTGGGGCTCATCATCCCGGCCTCCCTGTCAGTCCAGCATCGTGACTCCAAAGCTATCACACACGCCCTCGTAGAGCGCATCCTGCTTCAGGATGAATCCCTTGACGGCATCCCGCACGAGACAAGAAAAGAGAAGGCAGATGCTTCGTCACAGGCCCGTCATGCACGCATGAACCACGCCAAGTCCATCAAGGATAGCTGCCCTCCTGCCACGCTTTGGGTGCTGGAACTGGCTTCAGAGAAGGGAGCCTCTAGTTGGCTTACCTGCTGCCCGCTCCGTCGCTACGGTTTTGTCCTCAACAAACAAGCTTTCTGCTACTCGCTTCATTTGCGCTATGGTTGGATCTCGTCTGGACTGCCCTCAACCTGTGCATGTGGCGCTTCCTTCACACCTGAACACGCTTTGTCCTGCCCAATTGGTGGCTACCCCTCCATGCGTCATAAATGACCTCCGTGATTCAACAGCATCCCTCCTGAAAGACGTGGCCCATGATGTTAGCACCGAGCCTTCACTGCAACCAATCACCGGTGAGACCCTGCGTCATCGCACAGCGATCTCAGCCGACTGCGCTTGCCTGGACGTGGCAGCATCCGGCATATGGGGTGGGCGTTTCGAGAAGACGTTCCTAGACATCCGCGTCTTCAACCCTCATGCACGGTCCAACCGCCAGCAGTCACTTCCAGCTACATACCGAAAACACGACACTGAGAAGAGGCGCTCGTATGAGGAGCGAATCCGTGAAATTGAGCACGCGTCATTTATGCCGGTAGTCTTCAGTGCATCTGGAGGATTCGGGAAAGCGGCTTCTGCGCTCTACAACAGAGTTGCCGGTATGCTTTCGGGCAAGAGAAAAGAGCCCTATTCCACCGTACTGGCCTGGATCAGGTCAAGGGTCTCCTTCTCTCTTGTCCGCTCAGCAAATGCTAGCCTCCCAGTCCGTGGACATCGCGCCGCTCAACCGAAAGCTAACCGAGCTTTGGCTGACATTCCCCCTGTGCTGGCCGCAGCAGACTGCCACTTCTGATCCTCTGTTCCATTATTATTTGCCATGGCGACCCCCGTAAGTCCAAATAACAGGCAGGGCAGGGTTGAGCCTTTTTCTTTTTTCACGAGTCTCATTATTACATCCTGTTGCCTGTATAAGAGGCCGATTAATAATAAAAAAGGGTGACGTAGTGCACGAATTACGCTGTTTCAGATCTGATATGCACAGTTGCCCACTCTGGTTTATGCACTCTTGGAAGCACGCACAGCCTGAAACTTGGCAGTGGTGGCGAGGTTTTGGGAGCTATGTAGCGTTTGTTTTCCATTCTCCGTTTTTGCTGTTGGTCGGATTGTAACATTGTGTAGCTGCCTTTGTTTTTCCCTGGGTTATAGGCCATTCACACGACGTGTAAACACTTGCACGTGTGTGACCAAGATAACACTGGCAAACCGTCATCCAGTTCACACGGTGCTGGGCAAACTTTGCAACCATCAATGTGTCCATAGTGACTTCCTGAAAATGCCGCGAAATGTTAAATTTTGAATTTTCCTTTGTTCAAGCACTGCATTTGCAGTACGCACTTTCAACAACCGACACTTTTCCTGGCGTGAAAAGATAATCGCGAGCAAAAGGGCCTCGGCCAAGATAAAAAAATCAGTTGCACGCATGTGTCCAAGTTTATCGTATCCGAGTAAATATCCTTGGAAACGGCACGATAAAAGTAAGTTTGCCCGTCTGTTGCGTTTTGCATTGTTTCCCTTTTCACGTCTATATATTTTTTGTTGTTCTCGGCGTGCCAAAGTCTCAGCGTGAATCATTCATGCGCATTTTACATTTTTTCAAAGCATTCGTCTAGGGATGGAGTTGAATCTTTTACACAACCTTCATACACCTGCCTAGAGTTTCTTTGGATTAGACTATTTCAAATTTTCATTGTGATTTCATCGTGGAGTTTTCTTCCCTAGTGTCTTTGGTGTTCTTCCTTCTTTCCTTGTCGCATTGATTGCATAAACCCGTTTTTGCACTAAAAGTGATACAATCCAGGAATTTCGCCCTGACGACAAGTCAGCAACCCATTTGAGCGCGCACTATTTTGCGCATTGCCAAATATGGAAGGTATGAGTAATGCATGTGGGCATGCATGCTGGGATCAGCAATGCACTGTTCAACACCCCAGCTAGACGACCATGCCCAGGTGGCTGTGTGGGGTGTTATGTGAGTACGCTGGGATCAGCAATGCACTGTTCAACACCCCAGCTAGACGGCCATGTCCAGGTAGCTGTGTGCCGGGGTGTTTGCGGTAGAGATTACGTCATTGCGGTAGAGATTACGTCATTGTGCAATGGGCGTACTAGTCTGTCCCTCCAGAAACTTGCGGAGACATTTCGGAAATATCGCGGAAAAAGTTGCGAGGTAAAATGCCACAAATTGCGGGGAATATTGCGGATTTTGTCAAATATTGCCGGAGTATTGTGATAAAATTGCGGAAATTGCGGCCGATTTTGGTACTTGTACTGTAGTGGTGTACGATGTACGAGTCGTACAGCATAAATCATGCATGACAAAACAGAACGTGTGCTGCGCTGACTGTGTTCAACTGCCTGACAGGAGCTTGCAAGACAGCTTTCCTCCATCCTCGGGCAACACTCGACGCGAGCCTTATTTTGTGACTTGTCAGCCGCTGATTTGCCCAGAAACTTCTCCATTCTGGTGTCTATCTCACAAGTAAACTACTGCCGAGCTTGAAGAACTAAACAACATCGAAGAAAGACTCGAATATCGCGGTTGCTTTTCGAAATATCGCGGTGCTTTTCAAGTATCAAGGACAGTTTTCTACAATAACGCGGATGATTTTTCAAATATCGCGGATATCACGGACTTTTGTTCAAATCGCGGAAAACAACGCGACCGCGGAATCGCAAGTTCCTGGAAGGACAGACTAGTATTGGTTTTATCATTGTACCACAGTTGCGCTCACTGAAATCCGACCCAAAGTGCATATTTGGCGCCCTCAACTTGCACGGCCCTTGACGCCCTGGCAGTGGAATGAATGCGGCGGGACGTACACATGTACATCCACAATGATGTAATCGGAACTGGTCCAGGACGCCAGCTTTGCACTTTGGGTGGGATTTCAGTGAGCACAACTGTAGATTCTCCTAGACAAAGTACTTTACACATGCTCAGTAAAACCTGGTGTAAGCGACCTCTGGGTTTAGCGACCACCTGCTCTTAACGACCGTTTTTCCATGCACCGACAGTTCTACACAGACACTGTGGGACCTGGTTCTAAAGACCACCTGGCTTTAACGACCGCTTTTGCTTGCACCGTGGGGCGGTCGCTTAAACCCGGTTTTACTGTATGCGGCTCCTCCACACACTGCACGGCACAGAGCCTTGTGTCAAGTGTTGGATTTCACACACCACAACCGTGCGACCAGCCAGCACCCCGGACTGGAGCGCTCTTGAACGGAAACAAAAAAAAAGGCTTCAGCGCTCAACTCTTCGAGCAGGAGTTTTACGAATGAAATTTCTACTTCTACAGTGCGATGACCTGAATATCGACTCTGGATTAGTCGAACAAGGTGGAGTGGGAGAGGGGAGGAGTGTTAGAATTGACAGCAGAACAACCAAGCGGAATAGCATCAGTCTAGCTGGATATGCGAGCTTGGGCGCTGTGTCAGCGGAAGTAAATATTTAAAAACAACAAAATATGCCCCCGGATACGCATTATTGGTGTGTCCAGGCTCAAGCGGGGGATGAAGATGTAAACCAAAAAGAAAAGAAAAAGAAGGCTTTGGTGGATTCACGCCGTGTACCCTGCAGACAAGGTCTGCGGAGGCAATCACCTGCACACACCGGCACAGACGTGAAACGCAATCTGATGCACGGCCAAGGGAAGAGAGTCCGTGCGCCCGAGCGCACGTACGAGCACGCACGCGCGCAGGGTACGAACCAAACGCGCCGGATGGGGTCAGGTTAGATGGCTAGGTCAGGGGGTGGATGGTCGGGTTAGAGGGCTAGTCGGAGAAAAAAGAAAAAAAATGCGGGGGTGGGGGAGTCATTGGACTCGTCAAAATCTACGGGAATCACTTTATTCTAGCGGGCTATCGTGTGTGAGTAGAGAAGAGAGCCAAGTACATTACAAGAGTGAGGGGCCCGGGAGTGAGGGGCCCGGGAGAGCCTGGTGAACGTGTAAAATTAGATCCGACAAGTTGCCGTGTACGGTCGCACCCATAATAGTGGCGGAAGTACATGATTATTGCTTGCCAAGGCCGTCGGCTATTGGCCAGTTCAGCAGGGCTGGTCTACACGCCCTCTACAAACTCGGCCGCCTCAAACGACACCATGTGGGCGGCAGACAGTCTTTTTACGCGAGCACGATCAATCTCGGGCGGGGTGCACAAGCCCGAGGAGGAATCGAAGCTGGCTATGCGTGACTGAACTGCACACGGACACACAGGCACGCGGAAAAACGCACACACACACACACACGCACGAACAAATACGGACACGCACATGTCAGTATGTGGATACACACACACACACACACAAAATAAAATGATCGGCAAGCGTTCAAGGATGGGATACTCTTCTATGGGGGAAGACGGTTTTCAGACTCGACACATGCACGTATCCGGAGGAAATGTTCAACAGCACCGGTGCATGAAACACCGCCGGCAGCCAGTGATTAATCAGCGAAAGCAACTCGCGAAAAGCAAAGTGCAACTGAGTGGTGTCAGAAGGTTAAGCTATCGGAGGAATTGAGCGCCATCGAGCGTGAAGTGCTGTGACAAGCATTGTTTCCTCAACGGGATATTGGAGAGTGTGGTTTGCCAGTGGAGGTGGCTTTCACGAGAGCGGCGAGCATTCCGATATTTCACACAGAGGAAGTGTTAGCAAGTTGCAGAGGTTACCGATGGCGTGGATCTCGGTCATGCAAAACGGAGCCTGCGGCAGCGAGCACCATCCGACCAAAACGAAAACCTCTCTGCTAGATGCGGCGGACGCACTTTTTTTCTCTTCGCCATGCAGTGCCTTCCGAATATGGGCAATGAAACTTCCAAACCGGGCCCTCGCAGCGCTGCCTCTGTCCACAGCCAGTCACGCATAACCATATTACCGCCGCCAAACATTTAATTTATTTATTTCATTTTAAGCTGTTGTAGTTGCGGTGTGGTGGTTGATGGAAAAACCTGCACACCGGTCAAACTGCCCCTGCCTCTTCCCCCCCCCCCCCGCCTCTCCCCCCCCCCCACTCCTGCCATTCCATATGTCTCATCGCTGCCTTGCTGCTTTGTGCCGTCAAGTGGTGTGTGTTTTTTTGTTGTAAAAAATCAAAAACAAAAAACCACCGCTGGATGCTGCTGCTGAGCATTGCTATTTTTAACTATTTTAATATTGGGAGGTGATGAGAAGGGATGAAAAGCAAGAGAAATGAGTTAGGAACCCCCCTCTTGCCCCTGCCCTTCCTATCCCGTACCCAATCCCAGATGTCTCTTTGGCGAGTCGGGGGTCAGGGACACAAACTTGACAAACACACAGTGTGTGTACAAGTGACTGATAACTTGACATCAAACTCCCCTTATTCATGGCTCACACATGACGGGTTTACGTGGCTCTAGTAAAAAAAAACAAAAAACAAAAAACACACACACAGTGTGTGTACAAGTGACTGATAACTTGACATCAAACACACAGTGTGTGTACAAGTGACTGATGACAGTACACTAATGTGCAGTTGCGCCCGACGAAGTCCGACCCAGCGTGCATATTCGGCACCCTCAGCTTGCAGGGGCCCTGGAAGCGGTACGAATGCGGCTGGACGTGCACATACACACTCACTGTGATGTAATCAAAACGGTTTCAGGGTGTCACGTTTGCACTCTAGTCGTATGTATGATGAGGGTCCGAGTGCAGGGCGGAAATGGGGTACTAATAGTACCCCATTTTTAAGGTGAAAATTATTTCTGGCCCGGTTTTGCAAAAATAATTTCACCGTAAAAATGGGTCACTGTTAGTACCCCATTTCCGCCCTGCACTCGGACCATCACCATACCTACTACTCCCTCTGGGTCGGATTTCACCAAGCACAACTCTACCCTGGGGTTAGTTAGTACACAGCTCACAGAGGGGTGCCACGTACCAGCACTGTACTTGTTGATCTTCCTGTGCATCAGGCGGTGATAGATGAAGAAGCCGAGTGCAAAGACGAGAATTACCGACAGGATGACCACCGGGGCAATGATGCTGGCACTCAATGCGCTGCTCACACCTGTACCTGCTGCTGCTGCTGCTGGTGAAGAGAGAGAGATAGAGAGAGAGACAGAGATAGAGATAGAGAGAGAGAGATAGAGAGAGAGAGAGAGATAAAGAGAGAGAGAGAGAGAGAGAGAGAGAGAGAGAGAGAGAGAGAGAGAGAGAAAGAAAGATAGAGATAGAGAGAGATAGATAAAGAGAGAGAGATAGAGAGAGAGATAAAGAAAGATAGAGAAAGAGAGAGAGATAGAGAAAGAGAGAGATAGATAGAGAGATAAAGAGAGATAGAGAGAGATAAAGAGAGAGAGAGAGAGAGAGAAAGAGAGATAGATAGATAGAGAGAGAGAGAGAGAGAACATGATTGTTAGCCAAAATTCCAAAACTGTACTTCCTCCGCGTCATCGAAATTGTCGCAGTTTGACTTTTGATGTAAAATGCGGTATTTACTCACCAGCACTCGTACCAGAGGCAAGGGATCGGACATAGGCGATAGTCATCAGTATGGGGTGACGGCAAAGTTCTATTTTCTGTTATTGGAAGCTGGAATTTTTGAACTAGACGCAATTTCTTCGCTGATGTCGCTGCGCTGGTAATTTCGACTCGCTGAGATCAGTCAGGTGTTGCAGCCTGCACATTTCTCGTGCTTATGGACATTCACTCAAGCCCCATCACTGCTTTACCTTAGCTGGGGTGAGAATGACTTCGTGGAACAAGTGGCAGCGCTTGGAGAAACATCGAGGGGTCGGCAAACTAAATGCCTGCAACAGCGATAAAATTTGTCGCTCTGGCTGAGACACTCAGTACTACTACTAGTACATGATTGTACCTGCAAGAGCCGTGTAGACTCTACACGTAGTGCTAGTGATGCACGCGCAGGTGCCGTACCATGGTATACCAGTGCTGAAAAAGAGGGCGCGCTGGACGTGATACTACACTTACCTGCATGAGCTGTGGGCATGCCACGGCTAAAAAAAAAGTTCATTATTTTCAAGATCGAGGTGATTCCGAGGTGATTCCGCCGACGGTAATCAACCGACCTCGCAACGATCGTGTATTCTTACTAGGCTTCGTTGGTGGTGAAGTAGAAATCATCCAGAGCTAGCAGACGACAAGCATAGCAGCTCTTGTCCTGTGGAGAAAGTCAAAGCGTTTGAGATGAGGCGCGACCAACTTTCAACCTTCCTTGAAATATTTGGGAACGATATTTTTGCGTCCATTGACATCAGCGACGACGAGGACTTCATCTCTGCATGAAAACTCTCAGTCCAATTGTCCTAGAACGTTACTCTAGTCTTCAGACTATCATACTGTGTAATAAGTTTCGAATGCCTTAGTTTATGGAGTTGTCAGTAACAAGTGACAAGTCACTAGTCAAACTGCGACAATTTCGATGACGCGGAGGAAGTAATATTTTTTCACTGAACCTGGATGTAGCACTGTCCTTTAGAAGTCATTCCATGAAGTTGGAAAAGGGCTCACCAACAGGTGTCCCCTTTACAGGAGGCCAGAACGGCACACGTGTGATATTGCACACACACACATGCATGCACACACACCATGCACACACACCATGCAAACACACACACCATGCACACACAAGCATGCACACACACATGCACACACACGTGCACACACACATACACACACACACACACACACACACACACACACAAGGAAGACTCACTCACCTCTGTAGACAGACTGGCATTGCGTTCCAGTGTAGTCGGCATTACAGATGCAGAAGAAGCCGTATTCAGCGCTCATGTCAACTACGCACTTTCCATTATTGCTGCACAAGGAGCGTGAACAGTTCGTTGTGGCCTGCAAGTGCTCAGGATCAGCACCTTGGGAGGAGGTGCGGCGAGAAATGGTCGCAGTGGTTGTCGTGGCAGCCGCAGCAGTCGACGAATCCGAACCGGTATCCTGCTTTTTCAGCTGATCTGAAATTGGGCTCGAGAGTCGACCAGATTTGCGACCAATGTGGAGGTTCTCGAGAAAGTGAAGAAGCCGCCACGTGTCCTCTCCGCCGGTCTTCTCTACAGTTTTCGCCTCTGGCGTGTACTGGGGCAATCCCCTCATGGACGTCAACCGTGTAACCGGGTCGGAGGGCGCATCGGTGGCATGAGTTTGTTGCTGTCCGGGGAGACTGGCGCGGAGGTCGGCAAACACCCGGGCCAGATTTGCTGTCATGGCTCCAATGGTCTTGTTGAGCTGGGCAACGACCTGGTCGACGACGGTTGCTATCGCCGTCTTCAACGCCTGCGGCTCGGGGATCGGGCTTCCGGCGGGCGAGGCCTCCTCTTGCGATCCCATTGCAGTGTTGTTGTTCTCACCCATGAAGGCATCTAACTTGCGCAACATTTCACTCTTGTCCATGTACGCTGGCATAATGTTTCTCTGAGGCAGTTCACTGAGAACGTCGTCCAATGCGAAAGCTTCGCCGTCAGTACTGTCATCAGAGGACTTTGATGATTCCGGGGAGAAGCTGTCACTGGTGCCAAAGGCGCTCATCAAATCCTTTCGTGGCAATTGACTGAGCATATCGTCCAATGAAAAATCTTTGCCGTCGGCACTGTCGTCAGAAGACGTTGACTCCGAGGGGAAACCATCGCTAGTGGCAGCCGTGTCCATCAAACCCTTCCGTGACATAATGTTATTCTGCAGCATTTGGCTGATTTGCGCCATCGCCATCGTGGAAGAATCCGATTTAGTATTGTCATCAGCTGGCATAGAGTCCACGGGGAAAGCAGCGCTGTTGATAGCTCTCGTCTCAGCCCCGTCGTCAGAAGACACAGACTTGTGAGGCTCCATAGAGAAATAGTTGTCAGCACTGTCATCAGAAGACATTGACTCAGAGGCTGAATCTGAAGAAGTGCCAAAAGACCTCATCGAATCTTTCTGTGAAAATTGGCGGAGCATATCTTTCAATGACAAATCTTCGGTGTCAACACTGTCATCAGAAGACATTGACTCAGAGGCTGAATCTGAAGAAGTGCCAAAAGACCTCATCGAATCTTTCTGTGAAAATTGGCGGAGCATATCTTTCAATGACAAATCTTCGGTGTCAACACTGTCATCAGAAGACATTGACTCAGAGGCTGAATCTGAAGAAGTGCCAAAAGACCTCATCAAATCTTTCTGCGGCAATTGGCGGAGCATATCGGTCAACGACAAATCTTCGGTGTCAACACTGTCATCAGAAGCCATTGATTCCGAAGAGAAATCGGCGCTAGCGGCAGCCTCGGCTTTCAAGTCTTTCCATGGCATAACGTTGCTCTGTAGCAATTGCTTGATTTGAGCCATCATGGAGGCATCTAAATTAGTATTGTCCTCATCCAATACAGAGTCCACTGGCGAATCCTTGATGTCAGCACTGTCGTCAGAAGACATTGATTCCAAGGAGAAATCACCGCTAGGAGCAAGTTTTTCCCTCAAATATTGCAGCAATTCACTGAGCACATCCTTCAATGACAAATCCTTGATGTCAACACTGTCATCAGAAGACATTGATTCCGAGGAGAATTCATTGCTAGTTGCAGCCGCGGTCTTGAGATCTTTCTGTGACATTTGGCGGAGCATATCCTTCAATGAGAAATCTTCGGTGTCAACAGTGTCATCAGAAGACACTGATTCCGAGGAGAAATCGGCGCTAGTGGCAGCCTCGGCTTTCAAGTCTTTCCAGGGCATAACGTTCCTCTGTAGCAACTGCTTGATTTGAGCCATCGTGGAGGCATCCAAATTAGTATTGTCCTCATCCAATATAGAGTCCACTGGCGAATCCTTGATGTCAGCACTGTCGTCAGAAGACATTGATTCCAAGGAGAAATCACCGCTAGGAGCAAGTTTTTCCCTCAAATCTTGCGGCAATTCACTGAGCACATCTTTCCATGACAAATCCTTGATGTCAACACTGTCGTCAGAAGACTTTGATTCCGAGGAGAAATCAATGCTAGTGGCAGCCTCGGTCTTGAGATCTTTCTGTGACATTTGGCGGAGCATATCCTTCAATGAGAAATCTTCGGTGTCAACACTGTCATCAGAAGACACTGATTCCGAGGAGAAATCGGCGCTAGTGGCAGCCTTGGCTTTCAAGTCTTTCCATGGCATAACGTTCCTCTGTAGCAACTGCTTGATTTGAGCCATCGTGGAGGCATCCAAATTAGTATTGTCCTCATCCAATACAGAGTCCAATGACGAATCCTTGATGTCAGCACTGTCATCAGAAGACATTGATTCCAAGGAGAAATCACCGCTAGGAGCAAGTTTTTCCCTCAAATATTGCAGCAATTCACTGAGCACATCCTTGATGTCAACACTGTCATCAGAAGACATTGATTCCGAGGAGAAATCATTGCTAGTGGCAGCTGCGGTCTCGAGATCTTTCTGTGACATTTGGCGGAGCATATCCTTCAATGAGAAATCTTCGGTGTCAACACTGTCATCAGAAGACACTGATTCCGAGGAGAAATCGGCGCTAGTGGCAGCCTCGGCTTTCAAGTCTTTCCATGGCATAACGTTCCTCTGTAGCAACTGCTTGATTTGAGCCATCGTGGAGGCATCCAAATTAGTATTGTCCTCATCCAATATAGAGTCCACTGGCGAATCCTTGATGTCAGCACTGTCGTCAGAAGACATTGATTCCAAGGAGAAATCACGGCTAGGAGCAAGTTTTTCCCTCAAATCTTGCGGCAATTCACTGAGCACATCTTTCCATGACAAATCCTTGATGTCAACACTGTCGTCAGAAGACTTTGATTCCGAGGAGAAATCAATGCTAGTGGCAGCCTCGGTCTTGAGATCTTTCTGTGACATTTGGCGGAGCATATCCTTCAATGAGAAACCTTCGGTGTCAACAGTGTCATCAGAAGACACTGATTCCGAGGAGAAATCGGCGCTAGTGGCAGCCTCGGCTTTCAAGTCTTTCCATGGCATAACGTTCCTCTGTAGCAACTGCTTGATTTGAGCCATCGTGGAGGCATCCAAATTTGTATTGTCCTCATCCAATACAGAGTCCAATGACAAATCCTTGATGTCAGCACTGTCGTCAGAAGACATTGATTCCAAGGAGAAATCACCGCTAGGAGCAAGTTTTTCCCTCAAATCTTGCGGCAATACACTGAGCACATCTTTCCATGACAAATCCTTGATGTCAACACTGTCGTCAGAAGACTTTGATTCCGAGGAGAAATCAATGCTAGTGGCAGCCTGGGTCTTGAGATCTTTCTGTGACATTTGGCGGAGCATATCCTTCAATGAGAAACCTTCGGTGTCAACAGTGTCATCAGAAGACAATGATTCCGAGGAGAAATCGGCGCTAGTGGCAGCCTCGGCTTTCAAGTCTTTCCATGGCATAACGTTCCTCTGTAGCAAATGCTTGATTTGAGCCATCGTGGAGGCATCCAAATTTGTATTGTCCTCATCCAATACAGAGTCCAATGACAAATCCTTGATGTCAGCACTGTCGTCAGAAGACATTGATTCCAAGGAGAAATCACCGCTAGGAGCAAGTTTTTCCCTCAAATCTTGCGGCAATACACTGAGCACATCTTTCCATGACAAATCCTTGATGTCAACACTGTCGTCAGAAGACTTTGATTCCGAGGAGAAATCAATGCTAGTGGCAGCCTCGGTCTTGAGATCTTTCTGTGACATTTGGCGGAGCATATCCTTCAATGAGAAACCTTCGGTGTCAACACGGTCATCAGAAGACACTGATTCCGAGGAGAAATCGGCGCTAGTGGCAGCCTCGGCTTTCAAGTCTTTCCATGGCATAACGTTCCTCTGTAGCAACTGCTTGATTTGAGCCATCGTGGAGGCATCCAAATTTGTATTGTCCTCATCCAATACAGAGTCCAATGACGAATCCTTGATGTCAGCACTATCGTCAGAAGACATTGATTCCAAGGAGAAATCACCGCTAGGAGCAAGTTTTTCCCTCAAATCTTGCGGCAATTCACTGAGCACATCTTTCAATGACAAATCCTTGATGTCAACACTGTCGTCAGAAGACATTGATTCCGAGGAGAAATCAATGCTAGTGGCAGCCTCGGTCTTGAGATCTTTCTGTGACATTTGGCGGAGCATATCCTTCAATGAGAAACCTTCGGTGTCAACACTGTCATCAGAAGACGACAATTTGCTGAGCATGTCTTTCACTAATGAATCTTTGATGTCAGCACTGTCGTCAGAAGACATTGATTCCGAGGAGAATTCATTGCTAGTGGCAGCTGCGGTCTTGAGATCTTTCTGTGACATTTGGCGGAGCATATCCTTCAATGAGAAATCTTCGGTGTCAACACTGTCATCAGAAGACACTGATTCCGAGGAGAAATCGGCGCTAGTGGCAGCCTCGGCTTTCAAGTCTTTCCATGGCATAACGTTGCTCTGTAGCAACTGCTTGATTTGAGCCATCGTGGAGGCATCCAAATTAGTACTGTCCTCATCCAATATAGAGTCCACTGGCGAATCCTTGATGTCAGCACTGTCGTCAGAAGACATTGATTCCAAGGAGAAATCACCGCTAGGAGCAAGTTTTTCCCTCAAATCTTGCGGCAATTCACTGAGCACATCTTTCCATGACAAATCCTTGATGTCAACACTGTCGTCAGAAGACATTGATTCCGAGGAGAAAACATTGCTAGTGGCAGCCGCGGTCTTGAGATCTTTCTGTGACATTTGGCGGAGCATATCCTTCAATGAGAAATCTTCGGTGTCAACACTGTCATCAGAAGACACTGATTCCGAGGAGAAATTGGCGCTAGTGGCAGCCTCGGCTTTCAAGTCTTTCCATGGCATAACGTTCCTCTGTAGCAACTGCTTGATTTGAGCCATCATGGAGGCATCCAAATTAGTATTGTCCTCATCCAATATAGAGTCCACTGGCGAATCCTTGATGTCAGCACTGTCGTCAGAAGACAATGATTTCAAGGTGAAATCATTGCTAGTGGCAGCCTCGGTCTTGAGATCTTTCTGTGACATTTGGCGGAGCATATCCTTCACTGAGAAATCTTCGGTGTCAACAGTGTCATCAGAAGACACTGATTCCGAGGAGAAATTGGCGCTAGTGGCATCCTCGGCTTTCAAGTCTTTCCATGGCATAACGTTCCTCTGTAGCAACTGCTTGATTTGAGCCATCGTGGAGGCATCCAAATTAGTATTGTCCTCATCCAATACAGAGTCCAATGACGAATCCTTGATGTCAGCACTGTCGTCAGAAGACATTGATTTCGAGGAGAAATCACGGCTAGGAGCAAGTTTTTCCCTCAAATCTTGCGGCAATTCGCTGAGCACATCCTTCATTGACAAATCCTTGATGTCAGCACTGTCGTCAGAAGACATTGATTTCAAGGAGAAATCACGGCTAGGAGCAAGTTTTTCCCTCAAATCTTGCGGCAATTCACTGAGCACATCCTTCATTGACAAATCCTTGATGTCAGCACTGTCGTCAGAAGACATTGATTTCAAGGAGAAATCACGGCTAGGAGCAAGTTTTTCCCTCAAATCTTGCGGCAAGACACTGAGCACATCCTTCATTGACAAATCCTTGATGTCAGCACTGTCGTCAGAAGACATTGATTTCAAGGAGAAATCACGGCTAGGAGCAAGTTTTTCCCTCAAATCTTGCGGCAATTCGCTGAGCACATCCTTCATTGACAAATCCTTGATGTCAGCACTGTCACCAGAAGACATTGATTTCAAGGAGAAATCACGGCTAGGAGCAAGTTTTTCCCTCAAATCTTGCGGCAATTCACTGAGCACATCCTTCATTGACAAATCCTTGATGTCAGCACTGTCGTCAGAAGACATTGATTTCAAGGAGAAATCACGGCTAGGAGCAAGTTTTTCCCTCAAATCTTGCGGCAATTCACTGAGCACATCTTTCATTGACAAATCCTTGATGTCAGCACTGTCGTCAGAAGACATTGATTTCAAGGAGAAATCACGGCTAGGAGCAAGCTTTTCCCTCAAATCTTGCGGCAATTCACTGAGCATATCCTTCATTGACAAATCCTTGATGTCAGCACTGTCGTCAGAAGACATTGATTTCAAGGAGAAATCACGGCTAGGAGCAAGTTTTCCCCTCAAATCTTGCGGCAATTCGCTGAGCACATCCTTCATTGACAAATCCTTGATGTCAGCACTGTCGTCAGAAGACATTGATTTCAAGGAGAAATCACGGCTAGGAGCAAGTTTTTCCCTCAAATCTTGCGGCAATTCACTGAGCACATCCTTCATTGACAAATCCTTGATGTCAGCACTGTCGTCAGAAGACATTGATTTCAAGGAGAAATCACGGCTAGGAGCAAGTTTTTCCCTCAAATCTTGCGGCAATTCACTGAGCACATCCTTCATTGACAAATCCTTGATGTCAGCACTGTCGTCAGAAGACATTGATTTCAAGGAGAAATCACGGCTAGGAGCAAGTTTTTCCCTCAAATCTTGCGGCAATTCACTGAGCACATCCTTCATTGACAAATCCTTGATGTTAGCACTGTCGTCAGAAGACATTGATTTCAAGGAGAAATCACGGCTAGGAGCAAGTTTTTCCCTCAAATCTTGCGGCAAGACACTGAGCATATCCTTCATTGACAAATCCTTGATGTCAGCACTGTCGTCAGAAGACATTGATTTCAAGGAGAAATCACGGCTAGGAACAAGTTTTTCCCTCAAATCTTGCGGCAATTCGCTGAGCACATCCTTCATTGACAAATCCTTGATGTCAGCACTGTCGTCAGAAGACATTGATTTCAAGGAGAAATCACGGCTAGGAGCAAGTTTTTCCCTCAAATCTTGCGGCAATTCGCTGAGCACATCCTTCATTGACAAATCCTTGATGTCAGCACTGTCGTCAGAAGACATTGATTTCAAGGAGAAATCACGGCTAGGAGCAAGTTTTTCCCTCAAATCTTGCGGCAATTCGCTGAGCACATCCTTCATTGACAAATCCTTGATGTCAGCACTGTCGCCAGAAGACATTGATTTCAAGGAGAAATCACGGCTAGGAGCAAGTTTTTCCCTCAAATCTTGCGGCAATTCACTGAGCACATCCTTCATTGACAAATCCTTGATGTCAGCACTGTCGTCAGAAGTCATTGATTTCAAGGAGAAATCACGGCTAGGAGCAAGTTTTTCCCTCAAATCTTGCGGCAATTCACTGAGCACATCTTTCATTGACAAATCCTTGATGTCAGCACTGTCGTCAGAAGGCATTGATTTCAAGGAGAAATCACGGCTAGGAGCAAGCGTTTCCCTCAAATCTTGCGGCAATTCACTGAGCATATCCTTCATTGACAAATCCTTGATGTCAGCACTGTCGTCAGAAGACATTGATTTCAAGGAGAAATCACGGCTAGGAGCAAGTTTTCCCCTCAAATCTTGCGGCAATTCGCTGAGCACATCCTTCATTGACAAATCCTTGATGTCAGCACTGTCGTCAGAAGACATTGATTTCAAGGAGAAATCACGGCTAGGAGCAAGTTTTTCCCTCAAATCTTGCGGCAATTCACTGAGCACATCCTTCATTGACAAATCCTTGATGTCAGCACTGTCGTCAGAAGACATTGATTTCAAGGAGAAATCACGGCTAGGAGCAAGTTTTTCCCTCAAATCTTGCGGCAATTCACTGAGCACATCCTTCATTGACAAATCCTTGATGTCAGCACTGTCGTCAGAAGACATTGATTTCAAGGAGAAATCACGGCTAGGAGCAAGTTTTTCCCTCAAATCTTGCGGCAAGACACTGAGCATATCCTTCATTGACAAATCCTTGATGTCAGCACTGTCGTCAGAAGACATTGATTTCAAGGAGAAATCACGGCTAGGAGCAAGTTTTTCCCTCAAATCTTGCGGCAATTCGCTGAGCACATCCTTCATTGACAAATCCTTGATGTCAGCACTGTCGTCAGAAGACATTGATTTCAAGGAGAAATCACGGCTAGGAGCAAGTTTTTCCCTCAAATCTTGCGGCAATTCGCTGAGCACATCCTTCATTGACAAATCCTTGATGTCAGCACTGTCGTCAGAAGACATTGATTTCAAGGAGAAATCACGGCTAGGAGCAAGTTTTTCCTTCAAATCTTGCGGCAATTCGCTGAGCACATCCTTCATTGACAAATCCTTGATGTCAGCACTGTCGTCAGAAGACATTGATTTCAAGGAGAAATCACGGCTAGGAGCAAGTTTTTCTCTCAAATCTTGCGGCATTTCGCTGAGCACATCCTTCATTGACAAATCCTTGATGTCAGCACTGTCGTCAGAAGACATTGATTTCAAGGAGAAATCACGGCTAGGAGCAAGTTTTTCCCTCAAATCTTGCGGCAATTCGCTGAGCACATCCTTCATTGACAAATCCTTGATGTCAGCACTGTCGTCAGAAGTCATTGATTTCAAGGAGAAATCACGGCTAGGAGCAAGTTTTTCCCTCAAATCTTGCGGCAATTCACTGAGCACATCTTTCATTGACAAATCCTTGATGTCAGCACTGTCGTCAGAAGACATTGATTTCAAGGAGAAATCACGGCTAGGAGCAAGCGTTTCCCTCAAATCTTGCGGCAATTCACTGAGCATATCCTTCATTGACAAATCCTTGATGTCAGCACTGTCGTCAGAAGACATTGATTTCAAGGAGAAATCACGGCTAGGAGCAAGTTTTCCCCTCAAATCTTGCGGCAATTCGCTGAGCACATCCTTCATTGACAAATCCTTGATGTCAGCACTGTCGTCAGAAGACATTGATTTCAAGGAGAAATCACGGCTAGGAGCAAGTTTTTCCCTCAAATCTTGCGGCAATTCACTGAGCACATCCTTCATTGACAAATCCTTGATGTCAGCACTGTCGTCAGAAGACATTGATTTCAAGGAGAAATCACGGCTAGGAGCAAGTTTTTCCCTCAAATCTTGCGGCAATTCACTGAGCACATCCTTCATTGACAAATCCTTGATGTCAGCACTGTCGTCAGAAGACATTGATTTCAAGGAGAAATCACGGCTAGGAGCAAGTTTTTCCCTCAAATCTTGCGGCAAGACACTGAGCATATCCTTCATTGACAAATCCTTGATGTCAGCACTGTCGTCAGAAGACATTGATTTCAAGGAGAAATCACGGCTAGGAGCAAGTTTTTCCCTCAAATCTTGCGGCAATTCGCTGAGCACATCCTTCATTGACAAATCCTTGATGTCAGCACTGTCGTCAGAAGACATTGATTTCAAGGAGAAATCACGGCTAGGAGCAAGTTTTTCCCTCAAATCTTGCGGCAATTCGCTGAGCACATCCTTCATTGACAAATCCTTGATGTCAGCACTGTCGTCAGAAGACATTGATTTCAAGGAGAAATCACGGCTAGGAGCAAGTTTTTCCTTCAAATCTTGCGGCAATTCGCTGAGCACATC